TATATATATATATATATATATATATATATATATATAAAACGACCAATAAATATCGTCACAACTATACACATTAGCTAGAGGTGTAAAACACCTCAGCTACTGTATCGCAATACATAAAAGAAAAAATGCAACAGGCGTATGTCAGCTGAGCAACCAGCAACGGATGTGCATCGTTCTGTAAAGCTACCAACCGGCTACTAGGCAACAAAAAATTATTATGTAAACTTATATTACGCTACGAACTGAGATCGTGGTTTAAGGAGAAGGCGAAAAGGGATGGGGAAGGACAAAGAAACTCACATCAGAAACACCAATGGGGTCAGCCGATAGCCACGCCAGCAAGTGTAGCTAGCCAAACGTGTTCATTGTCTTTTGGACCCCAACCAGGGAGCCGTGATGCTCCAACCGAGGCCAGCACAGAAGTGAAGGCCTTCATTCCTCTGGACAAAGTCATCGCTTGGCCACCTCTTCTCTTCTTCCATCCACATCCCCACTGGGCAAACAACGCACGTCGCCGGAGCCGGTGGGCTGGCATGCGTAACACGTGGCCGAGCCATCGGAGCCTGGTGCGTGAAATTACGGTGCTGAGCGGTTCAGATCCTTTTCCTGGGCCGTAAACAATGCGTCGAACACGCTCGTTACTCACGCGGTGTTCCCACCAGATGTGAGCCAAACTGCGAAGGCACCGATGGTCGAACGTAACTAGCCTCTTTATGTCCACCGATCTTAGGGGCCAGGTTTCGCAACCGTACAGTAAGGTCGAACGTATCGCTGCATCGTACACTCTACCCTTCATGGCGAGAGTAATGTCGCGCCGCCACCATGGGTGGCGAAGGTTAGCAAAAGCACTTCGAGCTTTTGCTATACGGTTCGTGATCTCGTCTTCGATCCCAAGAGCGCTGATACAACTTCCCAGGTAGTTGAATTTTTGAACGACTTCTAGCTGATCCCCACCAAGGGTCAGCGCAGGAGGTGATCCCTGCCAATCGTGAAGGAAAGCTTTGCACTCCGATGGTGGAAAGCAAAGCCCGAAGCGGCTGACAACCAGTGCTTATCTGTTCAGTGCAGCTTGGCACGTCTGGGAGCTGACACAGATGAGGGCAATATCGTCTGCATACCAAAGTTAATAAGTCGTAATTCTGGGAGTAGCTCCACACCTTCTAAGTCGTGTCCTGTAAATGCAATCTCCATGACTTCGTCAACAGTGAAGTTGAAGAGGAAAGGTAACAGCGGGCAATCTTTTCTCACATGACTGGATATATTAAAGGGCGGCGACAACTTGCCGTAAGCCCTCACTCTGCCCGTGCTACGCGCGTATAATCCGGGGATAACATTTACATATTTATCGGGCGCTCCTTTCCTGAGTAGACAGTCCCAAAAGGCACATCGATCAACCGAAACGAAGGCAACATTGATGTTGAGGAACACAACAATGGTGGGCCGCCAATATGTGTGACGGTGCTCCAACAGCTGACGCAAAGTGAAGCTGTGGTCGATGCAGCAACGACCGCGACAAAACCCGGTTCGCTACTCACGAATCTGGTTTTCACGAACGCCAGTCAGTCTGTGAAGAATTACAGAGGCAAGAAATCTGGAGGCGATGGGCTTCAGACTGATTCCTCTATGGGTGCCGCATTCCGAACGCGAGCCTCCTTTGAAGATGGGAACAATAACGGAGAGGCTCTAGTCGGTTGGGACAGTTTCCTAGTCCAACAATTTCATTATTAATTCCTGTAAATCATCAACAAGAGCACGGCCCCCGTAGTCGAAGAGGGCTGGAGGGAGATCATCCGGTCCCGCAACTTTATTCAACCTCAATATTCCGATCTAACGAGTGACTTCTGAGCGAGATGGTGGATCCAAAGAAACAGTCTAGGGAGCAGGGCAATCAATCACCGGTGGAGAATCGAACAATTCCGGCAGATTAAGCTGCGTTACAAAATGAGCAGGCCAACATTTTGACACATTGTGGGTGGGCTGTCCATACTCGTCATAAATTGTTTCACTAACACCAGGTCCACTGCTGCCCGTTTCCCGTATCAGACGGAATAACCTACGATGGTTACCAAGCGCAGTGGCCACTTCCATCTCTGACGCACGATGAGACCACTAGGATTCGCGGTCTCCGTTCAGGCTAGCACAGAATTTTGCCAGGAGCTCTTTGCGAGTTTCATTGTGTTCCCTTCCAGCCGGAATATGCCGGCGAGCATCGATAAGTTCAAGAGACCGCGAAGAGACCCAATGTCCATGCTGGCTATTAGACTTACCAAATAAGGATTTGCCTGCTGCTAGTAAGGTCTGGTAAACATACTGCTGGTGTCACCTGAAGGGGACCGCACAGCGAAAACACAACTGGGGTTTTGTAGACGGGTTTCCGATAAGCATCAGATATCGATCGAGAGGGTCTCTAGTGTTCGAGCAAGTGATGCCTGTTGATCGATCTGTAACAATGTGGGTACGTTGAGGCATGCCAATCTGAAGGAGGATCGAGAACTCCAAATAGAAGCCGAGGAACTGGGCTTGACCATTTGGTTGGACATGGGCTTGTAGGTGGGGCGAGAGTGACGCTCCGCGTTTGCATGTGAGTTGAAACTAGAAGATGAACTCCTATGAAAGCATAGGATGGGAGGGGCAAGAATTGGAGGTTGAAAACAAGGGGGATAAAACTGAACTTGGAACGGGACGATAAGGCGCAGGAGGGGATAAGAAGAAGGGAAGGCTTCAGCAGCAACATCCAAACCTCCTATCCACGCTGCTCGATGTAGCAGATAAGGCGCCGTTAGTTATTGTATGCGGCGGAAGGAGCATCAAGTAATTGTTCGAGGAAAATTTCATAGTATTGCGTAGGAATGATATTGGTAGTTGTCCAGGCCTAGATAGGAAAAAGATTAGCCTTCCCAACTAAGGCCTTTGGTTGAAAGACGTGACCGCAAGGCAGTGGGTTTGGCGTTGGGATACAAGGAGTCCGTTTTAAGAAAAAAGGTGTCACCCTCATTCCAACCTCCAACCTAGAGGACCAGGAGGCTGAGCTTGTCTGGCCTCTAACCATTGACCAATCTGGCATGAGTGACCCTGAAGGTGCAAAAAAGCACCACCCAGCATAGCTCAACGGATCGTTGAGGCGCACAAACCATCCACCACTGTAAGGTCCAGCCCCAATGAGATCAATAAACATTTGGCAGTGCCACGATACGTGAGTAACAGCAACAAAAAGGAGGAAGAGAGTCAGGGGAATGGATGCGAAGATCTATGTGTTGTGTGGGCAGAGAGCTTCCCGATTGCCCAAGCGGAAGTAAAATATAATAATGGTGTGTCAGATGTACGCCGTAACGGCGCTTCGCTGCCGCGACAACCACCAGTCGCGTGTAGGCTGAGTACACCGCGAGGATGCCCACCCCTACGCAGATTCGAACCGGGGACCTTATGGCTGCAAACCAGGTGCACAGACCACTCGGAAACCGGCCGAGGAAGAGGGTTGACCTAAGGGACCCCACCTTGAGCCTTTGGTCTTTGTTGCGGGTCCGTCAAAAATCCCCGCAAAAACGCGCCAGGAACCCCGGCAGAATGGCTGTGGAAAGCGAGGTTCAATTCCTCCCCACAACGCAGCAGAGCTCAGCCACTCCGAGACGCGCCCCAACTGCGCACCTTCTGACAATGGTCATTTACAAACTACCACCTCTTCGTGGTGACTGTTTTCCTTAACTTAATAACCCATAGCACTGTCTGTGATCGCGCTTTGTCGGTCGTAAAAGAGCCTACAGAGGACCACTTGCCTTTTTTTCTCTTCGCGTCAGTTGGGACTCGGTCGGGTCACGTAATTGCGTGTGAGTCGTTAGCTGGCCAGCCTTCGCGTCTAAGTCATTAGCGCGCGTCTATCGTACCCCCCTCTCGTGTGCGCCCGTTCCGAGAGGTCAGCGTCTATCCGAACACTTGCGGCTAGGATCGGTCACACGCTCGCTCAATTTTCCGTCTCACCGGCTAAGCTAGCGTCGTCAGGTCAGCGCAACTCAGTTCGATTGGCCAGTGTTACAAGTCGTCATCGTAGGCGTGCTCCAACCGGGCCAGCGACAATCTTATCAGGCAATTACGCAATCCATATCGAGAGGCGGCGTTCCCTCAATTATAACCGTGGCGACGCAATTATAACAGTGGCGACAGAGTTGACGAACCATGACTGACGAATACGCAGATTTAAAACTGATGCTGCAGCAACAGCATAAATTGATGTCCGTGCTAACCGAAAAGCTTTCCAGTTCTTCCCTCCATGCAGGTCCGAGCGCCAATTCTCAGTCAGTGGACCAGGTGGTTAGCGGCATCAGCGAATTTCTGTACGACGCCAAGGCCGGGGTAACGTTCGAATCCTGGTACAAGCGGTACGAGGACCTGTTCACCGTTGACTTGGCTTGCCAGGACGACGCGTGGAAGGTCCGCCTGCTTCTGCGCAAACTTGGTACCCTCGAACACCAGCGCTACACCAATTTCATCTTGCCGAGGAACCCACGGGACGTTACCTTTGACGACACGGTCCGAACGTTGTCACAGATTTTTGGCGAGCAGTCCTCTCTGTTCAATGCTCGTTACCAATGTCTGCAGCTGGTCAAACGTGATGCCGACGACTTCATCACGTACGCGGGCGTGGTCAATCGTGAATGCCAACGTTTTCAACTTGGCTCGCTCACCGAGGACCAATTCAAATGCCTGATCTTCGTCTCTGGCCTCCAATCTCCACACGATGCCGATATCCGGACGTGCCTCCTGTCCAAGCTACAACAGGATGGATCAGTCACACTCCAGAACCTGGCCGAGGAGTGTCAAACGCTGCTCAACCTGAAGCACGATTCTGCAATGATCCAGAACGCCGCCGCACCTGGTATGGTCCAGGCAGTCACAGCACCGGGGGCGCAATCGTCCGCGCGCCCCACCCAATCCGACCGAGCGAAGTCCCCACCCTACGCATGCCGATTCTGTGGTGCCTGGCATTTCCACCGCGACTGCAAGTTCCGCCAGCATCGTTGTCAACGTTGTGGAAGGGTGGGGCACCGGGATGGTTACTGCCATCCTCCATCTCCCAAGGGGGCCAAAAGTGGGCTGGCTCCCACCCGCGATCTAAAGAAGAGGTCCCGACCCAGACGCACAACCAAATCTGGTCCGGTTGGCAGCTCCCTGAGCCTGCTGTCCACGTTCCAAATCAACGCTGCTGATAGGAGAAAATTCGTCGACGTGTTGATCAATGGTCAGTCGGTCCGATTGCAGCTGGACACTGCGTCGGACATCACGATCATCTCCGAGGATCTCTGGCGATCCCTTGGCAAGCCACCTTTCGAACCGACCTCCCAATCTGCCACCAGCGCCTGTGGTGGCCGCGTGCAGCTAACTGGGCAGCTGCACTGCTCCGTCTCCTTCCGGGGCGCCACGTTCAACGCAATCTGCTACATCACAAAGGCGAAGCTCAACGTACTTGGTCTCGACTGGCTCGAAACCCTTGGCTTGGCCGATCTTCCTCTTCGGGCCATCTGCAACGTGGTACATTCCCCGACAGTACCAAACGACCGAACCGACGACAAAGCCAGTCAATCCGCCCCCGTGTCCCAGGATTGTCAACAAGCCTCAAAGATGCCACCTCACCAATCACCAGTTCCTTGGCAGCCGCCAGCAAAACCGTGGTCTCGAGTGCACATCGATTACGCTGGTCCCATCGATGGCATTTCCTATCTGGTCGTAGTCGACGCCTATTCCAAATGGCCAGAAGTGGTCGCCGTCAACCCACCAACCGCATCCGCCACTCTGGGTTGTCTCCAACGGATCTTCAGTCAACATGGCCTTCCCGAGGTTCTGGTGTCCGACAATGGTACCCAATTTACGTCTTCTATCTTCGAAGACTTTTGCCGCCGACACTGCATCGAACACCTCCGCTCACCGCCGTACCATCCCCAATCCAACGGTCAAGCGGAGCGATTTGTCGACACATTCAAGAGGGCGCTTTTGAAATCTCGCGGGGAGGGGACCGTGGATGAGTGTCTTCAAGCGTTCCTGCTCTCGTACCGGTCCACACCGAATCCAGCTACGCCAGAATGCCAGTCCCTAGCTGAAGCATTGATGGGCCGCAAGCTACGCACCACAAACGAAGCGCTCATTCCGACTGAGAAGCCAACTACTCAATCTGGTGCCTTCAGCAAGCATAAAGAATTCGCCGTCGGAGCCCCAGTCTACGCTCGCGAGTACCGAGCAGGTCATCCTCGCTGGATCAAAGCAACAGTGACGGCCAGGCGAGGTGACATGCTGCATGATGTCTCCGTTGGTAATGACATCTGGGTTCGCCATCGCAATCAACTTCGTCCGCGCCACGGAGAAACCTTCACGCCAGCCAGCTATCCTGTGCGCCTGCCTCTGCATATCCTGCTGGATACCTTTGGAATGGCCACACAACGGGAGACCACGGTCGAAGCCGCTCAATCGCCGCCGCGTCTCGAAAACCCACCTTGCCGACGAACAGAAAGAATCCGGAGGTCACCGAAATCCCTCCAGGTCAATCCTCGCCAGAAGCGGTACTCTTTCTCTTCAAAGGGAGGTGTTGCGGGTCCGTCAAAAATCCCCGCAAAAACGCGCCAGGAACCCCGGCAGAATGGCTGTGGAAAGCGAGGTTCAATTCCTCCCCACAACGCAGCAGAGCTCAGCCACTCCGAGACGCGCCCCAACTGCGAACCTTTTGACAATGGTCATTTACAAACTACCACCTCTTCGTGGTGACTGTTTTCCTTAACTTAATAACCCATAGCACTGGCTGTGATCGCCCTTTGTCGGTCGTAAAAGAGCCTACAGAGGACCACTTGCCTTTTCTTTCTCTTCGCCTCAGTTGGGAGTCGGTCGGGTCACGTAATTGCGTGTGAGTCGTTAGCTGGCCAGCCTTCGCGTCTAAGTCATTAGCGCGCGTCTATCGTACCCCCCTCTCGTGTGCGCCCGTTCCGAGGGGTCAGCGTCTATCCGAACACTTGCGGCTAGGATCGGTCACACGCTCGCTCAATTTTCCGTCTCACCGGCTAAGCTAGCGTCGTCAGGTCAGCGCAACTCAGTTCGATTGGCCAGTGTTACAAGTCGTCATCGTAGGCGTGCTCTAACCGGGCCAGCGACAATCTTATCAGGCAATTACGCAATCCATATCGAGAGGCGGCGTTCCCTCAATTATAACAGTCTCAAAGACCTGACCCACAAGACAGCGGGGCGAAGACCATTTACAGCCAGGTGGCTCGTTCGCCTTCTTGTTCGGTTGCAGTCCACAGGGAAGCCGGTGGCCAGCAAGTTTGTTCATCCGCCCTCCGTTAAATCCTCACCACCAACAGTTCAAATCAGTCATTTTCGAATCCGGCTTAATTTCTGCAGCTGACGCAGAAATTAGAAAGTCTGTTAGGTAAATTGGATGCATCATTAGTTCGCCATTCAGGATGTTACTGTACACTATTAGCGTACGGTCAACTTAAAGTGACTCACAAATGTAGTCTAAACAACTGGAATAAGAGCTAGCGATGGTTGATACAATTTCTACCCGAACACGGATAGATGTCTATAGCACTGCACGACAGAAACCCCTACGTGCTTGTAGGAATTGTAGTGACATTTTGCCAGAAACTGTCCGTCCATCAAGCACCAGCGCACCGTCTGCTACAAGCAACGTCATTAAGAAACACGACGTCCTTATCGTGGGGTTCAGTTCAAACCGTCTCAGGACTCAAGGGGAGTTTAAGGTGGTTTATGCAACTGCATAGGAAGGAGAATTTCACTTCATAAATTCACCACTGTCACTATCAATGGTTACTCCGACGCGATATTCATACCGCATTTGACATTACTATCATTCCCAGTTCGACATGATCGGATATCGGTAAACCAATACTACGGTGACAGGCAAGCTGTTCGCTGAGCTTGGCAACTTTGTTGCAAACGATTCACCAATTGTGGTGACGTTATCATTGCATCTTTTAGTAGCGTGTAGGCTATAGCGTAGCGTAGAGAAGCCTCGTTGAGAGTGCGTCGAGTATAGTGCGCGTGCGCTTTTATATCTTCCCATGCTGCTGATGAAGTTTTTCGGATGACCGTTCATTAGAAATACTCGATATAGGTGGTTTTCTTCTAGCCTTCTCAATTCAATTGTACTGCAGTGTGTTTCCGCTCTTTTGAATAGGCTTTGAACGCAGCTCTTTTTGTGACTCACGGGGTAGTTGATGTGGTAGTTTAATATCTGATCTGCATACGTTTTCTTCCGGTATACGCATGTTTGCAGTGTCCCCTCGGTGTTCCTGTTGACTAGTACATCCAGAAATGTCAACATGTCAATCGGTAATTCAATTGTAAATTTGATATCATCGAAGGCGTTGTTGAGCAACTCGTGCGTCGTCTGTACTCTGTTTCGCTTTATGATGACAAATGTGTCGTCCACATATCGGATCCAAAGCTTTGGACATGGACGGCAGTGCAGTGCGCTCCAATTTCTGCATCACAAGGTCAGCAATAAGTCCAGATATTGGGAATCCCATTGGCGTTCCAATTTCCGCTTTTATTCCTAATCAGTACGATGTAATGCGGAAGATACCGCCCGGAGTGTATCGAACAGCACCTTACGGTAAATTTGCCTGTACCGATTGGAAAAAGCATAAGCGAAATGGCGTCTGTCACATTTCTGACAACCTTGTTTTTGACACACTTGGTATTAATTGGATCACCACGTTGAACTTGAGGAGTATTCCTCTTGAAACTGTGCGATCCAACCGAAGAAAGTCTACCAGATTTGGACAAGTAATCGCAATGCCACTTAGCGTAGAATTCTACAATCGCCGAGACAAGCAATTTCCAGAGGCGTTTGATTCCACACTTGGCTTTTGCACCAAATTCACGTCATCTCTTTATCTAAAGGATGACGGAAAACCTGATTTCCGACGCAAAAGACTGGTGTCTTATGCTCCAATTAAGCTGTGGACGAAGAATTTGATTGCTTGGAGCAATCAGATGATATGTAAAGTGGAATACTCATACTGGGCAACACCAATAGTGATAGTGAAAATATGCCAACGGAACATTCCGCTTATGTGGGGATTCATAAACCGGCCTGAACGTATCACTGAATCACCATCAATGCTTGTTGCCACTACCGGAGAATCTCCTCCCCCGAAACAACGGCAGTCGATTTTTCTCAAAAATTGTTGTTTATCTTCAAGTGGTAGTTGATGATGCCGCACGGCGCCTACTAGCAGTTAACACTCACCGTGGTCTGTATCAGTACAGTCGGCTGCAGTTCGGAGCGAAATCTGCCCGGGCCCCTTTCAACATCTATACTGGCGAACATACCGTCGACTTGTGCACAATTGGATAGTATCGGCATTGAGGAACTACTTGCTCCACACGATATACCTATCTTGTAATCGTTTTCCGGCATGGTGAGTTATCACAGTGCATTTGTTCATGATATGCATTGGTTTTGCGGGCCAATGAATGAGTTTGGTCATCCTAATGTGAGGAAGCTTTTAGGCTCATTAAGTAACCTCTTGGATCTGATTTAATGCTGGCACATTATGACCCGAAAGCAGATATTATTGTCTTCGCAGATGTCACAATTTATGGCGTTGGAGCGATGCTCCACCAGCGATTCGATACTAATAGCACAAGACCGGTTACGTACGCGTCACGGGTGTTAACGAAGTCTGGAAGAAACTACTCGCAAAACAAGAAAGTGATACTAACCTTAAAGTTTGCTGTCAAAAGGTTTCAACGCATACTGCAAGGCAAAGAATTCGTGTTGGAGATTGATAATAAACTGTCATTAGCCACGTTAGGTTCAAAGGAGAGCATACCTGCGTACACAGCGAATCGTTTCCAAGCTTGGGGGACATTGATGCTCGTATATAAGTTTACCATAGTTCATGTGCCCATGGCAGATTTCAGATAAGCCGATGCGCTCTCACGACTGATCGTAAAACCGCCGAGCACAGAAGAAGACCAGGTGACCGCGTCAGTTGCAGCTGAACCGAACGTGAAACAGATGTGTAGTTCAATCAGAGCTCTTCCGATTACTTACGTGAACATTCAAGAACATATCAAACCCGACCCTGTTTTACAAAACGTTATT